CCCATGACTCACCAGCCAATGAATTCATGTCCTTCTTGTGACTACCATCTTAGTGGCCCAACCTTTGCTTCTCTTAAGTATGCTGTACTAGGCTTGCACTAAGACTTCCGCTTCTGTACACTTCTTGTCGTGCACTCTCTCTCTCTCTCTCTGGGGGCTCACACGTGGCATTCGTCAGACGGGAATATCACAGCCTTTTTGGCCACCGTTATAACAATGCTCTCATCTGAAAACCAGACTTTGGTAGTGGCCGACTATGTTGACGGCTTCTAAGTTAACATTACGATCCGTTGGGTAGGTGTAGGCAGGTACTTACGATGCTTCGTCGTCAAGTCGCACAACCAGCTTGTCTTTATGAATGCGCGAGCCGAACATGCACTTAGTCTGACCTGCGTATTAACAGAAGCAACTTAGACATGGGATGTGAACATTATCGCAGATTTTTCCCCGCGTTTATATCAAGCGTAAAAACCTTGGTTCAGAGCGCGTGGTTGGTACTTAATACCGCTCTTTAACTCATTTCTGTTTCAAACGTATGCAGTGCATCATGGGCTTAAGCTACACTTATCGATTTGATTGTGTTCGATTGAAGCAAACAAGAGAGTCCCGAGAGGCAGTACAAAAAAGGGGGATACGATCGCTGAAAATGACGTTTTTTGGTCGAACGTTTTGAAATCTCTTTCAAAACTACCTCCAGAGACAGCAGCATAAAAGGGGAACGAAGTGGAATTGTCAGCCAACCACGCCAAGAACCGCCAACAGTGGTATCATCAAGGCAGTTAACAACTCGGGTATGGACCGAAAAAGGGAAAATTGTTTTTACCGCTTCCTCTAGTGACGTTACCAATAACTGCTAATGCTAGTTAGCGTTCAAGAGAAATCCCTAAAGGTCTAGCCATGTTCCAGCAATTGCATCTATTTCATCTGAATTTGAATGGGTTTTCGTCAAAGGACTGACAAGCCATGTACAGTCGTTAAAATGTGCCTCTTAAGAACGAATGTGTGTCGGTGCGAGGACAAATTAAAAATCAATATATGCGAGACTACCAGTACCATCGCACAAATCGTAGAAAAATAAGCAAGCATAGACGAAAAACTGTGCGTCAAATGTTAAGAACCACGCCTGATACATGCAATTGGCACAAGCTCTGAGCTAGTCCAGCTGTTGTCTCGAACGCCTACAAGAGAGAACAAAAGACATCAATCGGCCAGGAGAGAGAAGTGTATTCACACAATACAAGCCCAGCAAGTCCTGCAAGTCACTATAACAAAGAAAGCTGCGGGATATTTTTTTAAATTCACTCTATGAATAGGTGTCAGTGACAGAGGACCAATTAGATAAGACAAAAAATCTACAGCCATGTTACGCTCTCATGCGAGCGGCCTGGACTTGCAATCAAGGGCCTTTCTGTAAGATGGGCTATCGTTGGAATTGGCGCATTCCCAACAACTTCCTAATCAGCTTTAAAACTGTATAACAGTAAACCACTGACCGTTCTCAAAAATTTTTTTCTCCAAACGCGCCATTTATTTTGGAAGATGGTGACCACTGTCGGTTATGGCTATGGACAATAACTGGATTTCTGCACTTATATGACAACACCGGCCACAGAAAACCCTAAGACCGACTGTCACTACGGAGGAAGATGTTAAATTCAGACTGCGGGAACGTTACTTAGAATACCTAATAAACGCGGAAGAACCAGTGAAGAAGTTCTTCGATTCCCGTGCTCCTCTCGTAATTCAGCAGTGAAGAATCAACCGCTAAGTTGGTTGGCAGCACGTTGCGCGAATTTTTATTGTCGGTGACGGTTGAGTAGATATAAAGAAGGTTCCCCAAATCAAAAGTCAGGTAAGGTAGAGTTAGTAGGTAGAAAAACATTTACTGCGCAACATGAGCTTTACAACAAGACCTACTAAACATTTGTTGTTGCGGACTGAATGCGTCTTTCAAGGCCTGTGCAGCCAGTCAGGTGGAACTGCGCGCATCAATTGGCAACTCAAGAAGCGAGTCATTGGGGAGCGTAGGACAGACAGGAAATCGCAGGCATGAGGCAACGATTGACAAGGACGCGCGGGTTCCCAAAATCTTGGCGAGCGAAGAGAGGGTAAGTCAGCGCAGCCGTACTGACTTCAGGCTGCCACAATACAACCATCAAGACCGAAGGTAACGTGTAGCGACGCTGATGCACGGTTAAAGCCGACTGCACACCTACGTGTGTTATACCATGTGTTATAAAAAAGTATCAAAAAATTACCAAAGGTCAAGGTAAAGCCGCGCAAGTTATCTTTCAAAGATAAGTGAAGTCTATATTTTTTATCAGATTTCATCTTTTCCTGCTGAAGTTGTTAGCGTAATTGTTGCTTACAATTTGTATCTCTAACTCTTAAGAAACTGCATATGCCGGTAGTTGTTTCTTTAACTATAAGTGAAGGGGTACAATTTTCTACTGTTTCAATTGACGTAGCCTCATCCAGGTTCCGCTAGATTTACGTAAACAGCGAGTAATCTATTGCGTAAATATCGAATTATTTGGGAATTTGGGAATATATCAATTTTCAGCAAGAAATATTTTGTATAAATCGATATACTAATTGCGATAATTTTCATCGTACCTCTTCGCTACTTCAATTTTTCTGTTAAAATTCATTACTCAGAAAGTTGTTTTTGTGCATAGCTTTGCTTAGAACATATCTTATTACTTACTTCTAATTCAATAAGACATCTAAACCACAACTCGGGTGCCGACCACCCCGTAATGTAAGATACCCTAACGATCAACTTGTCTTAAGCATGAAGAAACTTGATCTTGATGCTTTAGACAACACACCATATTTAAGTAGTTACCTTTCACCGTACATACGTATTGTTAGCTAGACTACACGATAAATATCACAACCAGAGCCAATGCCGATTATGTCGGCATGTTGCACGAATTGTGGCGCGTGCTGTAGTAATAGGGTGTCTACTTTTGTAAGTTTATCACAGCCTCTGCAAAAGACATTCAACTAGAAAATTTGATTTTTTGTGGGCAACCCAAATTTTAAAAATGCATGCTTCTTAAAATTCCCAAACAACTAGAAATTTTGATGAGTAGGTCAACCACATTAATATACTTGAGGTCTAGTCTACCGTTCAGGAGTTCTAGTAGTGTAGACAAGAAGGCTGGCCGAGCAAGGGTCGGTTTGCTTATAATCCTGAGATTTCGAACGTAAACTAGAGTACATGGTCAAA